CAATGAACAAATTAACAAAATTACGAACAAACCGACAATTCCCCCTTGACTACTAACTACTCCCTAAACGGTCTAAATTCTACCGGAATACTGTTTAAATAAAAGTAAGTCCTGCTAATAAAAAACCAATTAATAAGAAGCAATAAATTATAACTTAATCTCTCCAAGTTTGCACAGACTGTCTTTTGGAATATTCTGTCGTCTCCGCTCTCTTCACAAATGCCTTTCTTCCATTAATTCTTCTGTTAGGAATGTTTTATCTCTATAATTTCTTTAGTAAGGACTTTGAGCTAAAATGCTGTGGTACTTTAATTAGATGGGCTTTTTCTGAGAGCTGAATGGTGCTAACTCTGGCAGGTGGCAGTTGTCTCTCTTTCAGATGGCAGCTGGCTCTCTCCAATTTTCCAAATGCCCTCGTCTTATATACCCGTAATGACATAATCAAATTCTTATAATATGATCGGTTTCAGGTTGTCAATACCATCAGATTTAAACTCAGTTGGCTTTTTATATCTAGGTGCTTCGTTTAAATTAATTGGCCGAATTCAAACTCGTTGGCTGAATTCAAACAAGACTGCTGTTTTGCCTGCCACCTGTAAGGCTTTGATACATTTGTTTCACTTTTTGAGGCTGTCTGTCCTGTCAACTTCAGCTGCTACTCGCAGACAGATTTTTAAAAAAATTTCTAAGTACAGACAAAGCACAAATCTCTTAAAGCAACCAGACATTTTAGCTTCCTGCCTTCCACTTCACAATTACTCTACCCAACTTCGTAACATAATGCAAACTCTAAACACTTTCATGTTGCATCTCTTTCTGCTTCTGTCTCACCTCCAGCTCTCTCTGACAGTCCAGCTCTCACTCAATGACCTGCTTGATACAAACACAGGCAGATCGTGAAGCCAATCTTTACCTAGAAGGCAGGGCCAGGGAATGTAAAACACAAGGCAATGAGAAGCGATGGGTTTGTGCATGTCTGGGTGAAGAAACACTAGTATCTCTTCTTCCTGATTCTTCCTGATACTGATTCCAGGAATATGCATAGTGCCAGTTACCCCAGTCCCAATAGATAATGTGTCTGACAGACAGATCAAGGGAGAGTGGGTTCGATCCTTCCTGGCAAACATTGTCCTGTCATTCACAAACAGAGCTGACCACTGCTGGTCATAGAGACCTCCAATACAGAAGAAAGACCCTTCAGGTCTGCACCAGTTGAAATCAAGACCCTGAGTGTTCTTCTCTCATTTCCCAACACTTCACTCACAGTTGACCTGATGGCCCAAATGGCTTCCATCTACTCAGATGTCTTACATAGAAACACTGAAACATTAAAGGTAGCAGCAAGAGGAGGCCATTCGTCCCTTCCAGCCTGCTCCTCCATTCTTCATGATCATGGCTGATCATCCAACTCAACAGCCTAATCCTGCTTTCTCTCCATAACCTTTGATCCCATATACCCCACGTGCTATATCTAGTCATCTCTTGAATACATCCAATGTTTTGATATCAACTACTTCCATTGGTAATGAATTCCACAGGCTCACTACTCTTTGGGTGAAGAAATGTCTCCTCATCTCCATCCTAAATCGTCTACCCCGAATCCTCATACTGTGACCGCTGGTTCTGGACACACCCACCATCTAGAACATCCTGCCTGCATTTACCCTGTCTATTCCTGTGATAATTTAGAAGTCTCTATGAGATCCTCCCTCATTCATCTGAACTCTAGCAAAAAACTTTCTAACCTAGTCAATCTCTCCTCATATGTCAGAGCCACCATCACTGGAATCAGCCTGGTAAACTTTTGCTGCACTACTTCGAGAGCAAGAGCATCCTTTCTCAGAAAAGGATACCAAAATTGCACACAAAATTCCAGGTGTGGTCTCACCAAGGCCCTGTACAACTGTAACAACACATCCCTGCTCCTCTACTCAAAACCTCTCACAGTAAAGGCCAACATACCATTTGCCTTCTTTACCGCCTGTGGCATCTGCATGCTTACCTTCAGCAACTGGTGCACAAGGACAGCCAGATCCCACTGCACACTCCACTCTTCCAATTTACAGTCATTCAGGTAGTAATCTGCCTTCTTATTTTTGCTTCTGAAGTAAATAACCTCACATTTATCCAAATTACACATCAGCCATTGATTTGCCCACTCACCTAACCTGTTGAGATCATGCTGAAAGATCTCTGCATCCTCATCAAAGCTCACCCTCCCACCCAACTTGGTGACATCTGCAAACTTGGTGATGTTACATTTTGTTCCCTCATTCAAATCATTAATATATATTCTGAATACCTGGGGTCTCAGCACCGATCCCTGTGGCACCCCGCTAGTTACTGCCTGCCAATTTGAAAAGGACCATTAATTCTGACTCTTTGTTTCCTCTCTGCCAACCAGTTTTCTATGCAACACAATACACTTCCCCCAATCCCACACGCTTTAATCTTGCTTGGCAGATGCAGTTATATGTCGCGAGTATGAGATCATGCACTTTGGGAGGAAGCAGCAAAAGACAGACTACTATTAAAATCGAGAAAAACTCCAAAAAAGTGCAGTGCAGAGGAATCCAGGTGTTTTTGTGCAGGAGACAAACAAGGCTAGCAGACAGCTGCAGCAAGTAGCTAATAAGTCAAATGGAATTTTGCTGTTTATTACTATGGGGCTGTAGTTTAAAAATATGGAGGTCTTGTTCCAACTGTACAGTTTTTGTGAGTCCTCAAATAGTGTCGGCAGTTTTGGTCCCCTTATTTTTAAAGGATATAATAGTATTGGAGGTTGTCCAAAAGAGATTCAATGGGCTGATTCCTCTGATGAAGATTAAGAACGTCTAAACACTTGTTTATTACAGTTCAGAAAAATGAGAAGCTGATCTTGTTAAAACATACAAAATTCTGATGGGGCTTGACAGCGTAGATATTAAGACGATCTTTCCACAAGTGGGTGAATCTCGAACTACAGACACATTTACAGAATAAAGGGACACTCAGTGGGATGTGAAGGAATTTCTTTTCTCAGAGAGTAGAAAATATCTGGAATTCTCTACCAAAGCAGTCTTGGAGGCAAGATCACAAAATGTATTCAAAAGGAGGAAGAGAGATTCTTTTAAGAATGTAAGTTGAATAATAGTGATCTGGGAGAAAAGAGGAGCTGAGGCCTAGTGCATATTAGCTCTGATCTTGCTGAATGTTGCATCAGGATTGATTTGCTGAATGACCCCGTCTTGTTTGTATTTCTGATGTCCTGATGTTGTTGCCAGATGGGACAGAATGTACCCAGAAACAAAAACAGAAGTAAAGGGTATATAATCATGTGATTTGGCCAATGTTTTCTACCCCATACGCTGCAGGCGAGGATGGCCCGGAGCATGGTATATTGGCGAGACCATGCAAATCCTACAGCAGTGGATGAATGGACACCGTGCAACAGTCACCAGACAAGAATGTTCCCTCTAAGTCAGGGAAGACTTCAGCAGTCAAGGACATTCAGCCTCCGATCTTTAGGAGAGCATCCTCCAAGGCAGCCTTCAAGATGCACAACAACACAGATTTACCAAGCAGGAGCTGACAGCCAAGTTCTGTATCCATAAAGATGACCTCAAATGTGATCTTGAGTTCATGTCATGCTACATGTAACCCTACCATACTGCTCTGTATCTGTAAAATCTTCCTTACTGACATGTTTTGACACAATCACCTTGATAACTTGTTATGACCTCTTCACCTTAAATAGTTTGAACAGTTTTGAATTACTTGTCACTTTGGGTAGACCCTTGGCATATGACCCCTTTACCTTTCATGTTATTCCACCCATTTGATTTGTCTCCAGCACCATCTTATTTTAAATTTTTTTTGTCATTATATCTCTGCCTCAATTAATTGGATACTCGGTCACCTCTTCGCTTGCTGTTCAGCTATTGACACTTTACTCACACTGATACTTTTGATCACCTGCAGAGACTTATTATTCAACCTGTCAACACTCACACCATTTGTATAATCTTTTGATCTCTCTCATAATAAATTCTGTGTTTGTGTGTTTCTCATCACTTCACCTGACAAAGGGGCAGTGCTACAAAAGCTTGTGATTTCAAATAAACCTGTTGAACAATAACCTGGTATGTATGACTTTGGACCTTGTCCACCGCTTTTCAACACTGGCACCTCCAGAAATCGGTGTGAATTTTTGAGGGGTAGGGCCTTGAGTGCATATATCTGACTGAAACTCTCTCTCATGTGGTTTCACTCAAATTCCATGAGGTTTCCTCACTTTTTGAATAAACTGTGACATTTTCACATCATCTGGGTCTATTCCACAATCGAATGATTTTTGGAAAATTACAACCAATGCATCCTCGATCTCTGTAGCTACTTATTATGGAATCCCTGGATGTGAACGTTCAGAGCTGGGGGCCTTATTTAAATTTAGTCCCATTAATTTGTTAAATACTACTTAGGTCCACACCAACACACCCCAAGCCACCCACCATACTCTTAAGTATACCATTGAAGGTCACTGTTCTCTCATTAAGCCTGCCACATTACACATTACCAGATCCAAATTAACCATATCCCACATCCTATGCCTCATGCATCACTTGCCTCTTTGGGCATTTATGGAAATATTTTCCTCTGAAATTTATCGCCCTCCATAATAAAAAGGATTTTATGATGAAGGAAGAAACTTAAACCAATCTTCACTTGGCATAGGTTTAATTACAGGGTGCAACATTGCAGGTATGTAATTCCTGACTTCACTCTATGTCAGTAAGTGTCTTGTTATCAGTTCTCCAGTCACCAACAAATAAAATTATATTTGATAAAATTAGCAGCTACAGGTAGGGTACCCTCTGTGTGGCTGCCAAGATGTCTCAGCAGGTGGGATAATTGATTGAATCCTTTCCCACACTCAGAACAAATGAATGGCTTCTCTCTGATGTGAATTCGCAGGTGTCTCAGCAGGCTGGAAGTCTGAGTGAATCCTTTTCCACACTCACAGCAGATGAATGGCCTTTCTCCATTGTGAATCGCCGGTGCTTCTGCAGACTGGATGAATCAGTGAATTCCTTCCCACACAAAGAACAGGAGAACAGCTCCACTCCAGCCGTGAACTGCTGGTGTGAGAGCAGATGGGAAGATTTAAATCCCTTCGAACACTTGGAGCATTTGATCAGCCTCTCCCAAGTGTGAACTCGCTGGTGTCTTAGCAGGCAGCTTGATTGCGTGAACCCTTTCTACATTTAAAGTAGTTATAGAGTCATTGAGATATACAGCACAGAAACAGACTCGTCCATGCTAACCAGCTATCCTAAATTAATCTAGTCTTGTTTGCCAACATTTGGCCCATATCCCTATAAACCCTTCCTTATACATATACCCACGTAGATTCCTTTTAAATGTTGTAATTGTACCAATCTCCACCACTTCCTAATGTCAGTTCATTCCATACACATATCACCCTGTGTGTGAAAACATTGCCCCTTAGGTCCCATTAAAATCTTTCCCCTCAAACATTAAACATATGCCGTCAAGTTTTGGACTCCTCTAACTTGGGGAAAAGACCTTGACTATTCACCCTATCCTGCCCATCATTATTTTATAAACATCTATACGGTCACCCCTCAGCATCCAACACTCCAGTGTAAATAGACCTTGTCTATTCAGCCTCTCCCTATAGCTCAACTCCTCCGACCCTCAAAATGTCCTTGTAAACTTTTCCAAGCCCTTTCATCTTTTCTGTAGCAGGGAGAATAGAATTGAATGCAGAATGTGAGGTTCCCTCCATGTGTATTAATGCAGTTGATGGGTACAGAGAGGATGAACACATACCCTTTATCCTGTCAGTTTAAACTTGTGAAAATCTCAGTTTTAAACCAATGCAAGAGGAGATTGTCTCTTTCTGTGCATTTTCAGTGGAGAATGCTCAGCTGTGAAGTGCCTGTCTTTGCAAAATTGGTGGTTAACTGAAATTCTCAATTTCTGAGACAGAAAACAAAGCGAGCTTCTGTGATCAAGTGGTTAAGTAATTGAACATGTGAATGGGAAACATTATGGATGGGAAATGCACATGGCTATGTGGTGCCTTGGCTTGCTTGGTTAAAGTGCCTGCCTAGTAAACAGGAAATTGTGGGTTACAATCCTGCCTGTGCTTTACATTGAAGGTGTCTTGTTTTAAACTGCTCTCAAATGCCATGTTGCTGATCCAATCTGGTGATGTCCAAGGACACAGCTGGTATGCTTCCTGTAGTTGACCAAACTGTATTATTGTTCCTCCGGTTGCCTGGGTTTGCCCCCATCAGGTCATGTTGTTTTTTGCTGTTTTGTGAACTGTAATAATTAACAGTTGTAAGCTAATCAGAGAGACAGATTTTGATAAATATGCCAATTTGACAGATTAAGCTGATAATTTCGCCTAACGTCATATTAAAAGAAATGCATAACTAACCTCGTTCTGAATAACGGTCCATCAACCTGAAACGTTAACTCTGTTTCTCTCCACAGATGCTGCCAGGCCTCTTGAGTTTCTCTATCAATTGCTGATTTTGTTTCAGATTTCCAGCATCTGCAGTTCTTTCTCTTACGTTAACTTGAATAATATCTGGGGCAAAACAGGCTATCTGCCAGCTCCACAGCTTCTTTCCTGCATCTGAAAATTAGTCATCACAATAAACTAGCAGAATAGAACTCCAATTCCCTGACTGACAATTGGACCAGGGCTGCAGTGGTGAAAGCGCCAAATCCTTTCACTGGACCAGGAGGGTGGATTTTTCAGACTTTTCTTTTCTCAATGACAATGCTTCTGACTTTTGATTTGCTATCATTTTGGCTGCAGATCACTTTCTCCCTGTCATTGAATCTTTGGAGCGTGGAATAAAAAGACCCTTCGACCCATCGTATCCATTTGAATAATCAAACCTACATTTTTCTAATGAGCGATAGTAGGAACTGCAGATGCTGGAGAATCCGAGACAACAAGGTGCAGGGCTGGATGAACACAGCAGGCCAAGCAGCAT